TTTATATCTAACTCAGAACGAGAGAGTTACAGGAATCTTTTATCAGTGAGATAGCACTTACTAGTACAGTTCCTAATGTGAACCAATCATTGCAATATGAGAAATATATGTTAAGGTCTTCCTGCGTCAATCTTGATTTTATGATCACTCTCAAACTGACACTTGCACAACAACACACCGAGAGGAACCTACATATCAAATTTGAGAAAATCCCTCATGTACAATAGTGATAACAAGCATTCAATTTCAAAATCCTAGATAGCCAAGAATTGACCATTTTGCTTATCCCATCAGTCTCAAAAGTAGGTAAAAACAAAGGGGAACCTACATATCAAAGAGAAAATCCCTACAGTCCTTTCTGAGAATTAGCACTAACAATCTTTATCTCGCAAAATTGAATATATTTGAAGAAGGCGCTTCTTGGCCATCTTGTTTTTCCAATCAGTCCTAGCATAACAAGGGGCATTTGGTAACCTACATGTCAAATTTGAGAAAGATACCTACTGTATTTTTCTGAGAAATAGCGCTAACAAGAATTGTTTATGGACGGAAGGACGGAATGCGAACGGACCTCGGACGAAGGGCAATTTGAATAGCCCACCATCTGATGATGGTTGGCCAAAAATATCGGTCATCTATTAAAGTCAAGAAATGAAAGGGATTCGTCGGAAAACCATATAGTATATTCTACATACCCATGGCGTCCTGTTAAATATACCTCCCTCATCTCAAACAAAAAAAAAAAAAAAAAAAAATTGAAAAAACGTTCGTNAATACCTTTTTTTTTCATAAATGCAATGCATTGAAGTATTGAAATCAGAATTACTTGAGGGGTTGTGTTTTCAGACATATTGAATTCAATCTAACAATTAAACTATATTATAAGAAGGTGTAACGTTAAACCACCTCTTATCAACATACGTAACCAACCGAGACGTTATCCAATACACGACACAGGACGCATTTATACAAATGACACATTTGTTCAAAGTGTGGTTAGCTAACCACCCCATCAACAGAATAGTATAATCCGATTAATTAAAAGCACAGAAAATTAAATAGAAAACAACATCTATATCAATCATTCAAAACGATTCATAGATCAGTGAACGCTACTGCATTTGTAAATTTAAATCAGAACATTGCATTTCAAAAATGAACGTGGTCGACTCATCAAGCAAATTAACCTTTGAACAATCGAATACAATTCGAAATACTATGCATTTTGATGATATTGGCAGCTGGCAGCTTCGTGTAAATTTAAACAGTAAAGGCATATAAATCAAAGTGTCGGGTACATATCTTACATCTACTTATACAACAACGGACATGGTGACGCTGCTTAAGATATGATCACCACATCATTTCTATCAGTATACAACGGTTGACCTGGTCATATTGTTAGTTAATATTACAGTATTCAATTTGTATATTGTAATATACACCGGTATTTTTGAATTCAGCTCCTATATAGATATATCATCTGGTTTTTTTTGGGATTACTCATACTTTTTTTTACAAACACAATAGCATTTGCAAATTTTAAAATTTAATCAGAACAATGCATTTCAAAATTGATCGATTCATCAAGCAAATACAACTTTGAACACCCAAAGCAAAGTCGTATTACTTAATGTATTGGCAGCTGTCGATATTGTCGAAATGTCAAGGCATATACGAAAAGGTCGGCTACATACCGTTATTTTCAAATCCCCTATCCGCTAACAGCAAGAGACCCAATGGGTCTGCATCTCTATCCTGGTATTACTATCACATGTGTTACCCGATGCATTGATTCATATAAATCTGCAGGGAAAATATCAGTATTTAAGACTATAAAGCATTCAAAATAGCATGTAAAACAATTTAAAACACATTTGACCAATGTAACGTTGAAAATCGAACTAGGTTATTACGTTGAACAAACTGTATCCCCCTTCATCTCAGTATGCAACTTGCCAAAAAAGCCCACCTACTTCCAACATTCAGGGCCTAATTGTTATTCAGCGGATGTGGTTTGAAATTTTAAAAATATTTGACATCTTTGACCTTGAATATAGGCTAAGGTCGTTCATTTGGGGAAAAATGGTAGCCCTTCATCCAAGCATGGTTCTGGTCAAACACCAATATTCCGGGCCTTACGGTTATTCAGAAGAGGTCGTTTCAAGGTTTTTAAACAAATCTTACCCCTGTGACCTGGAATATAAGTCAAGTTCATTCATTTTAACAAACTTGGTTGCCTATCATGCCAGCATGTGTCTTACCATATAATCAATCACCCTGCGCATTTTGGTTATTAAAAAGTTGTTTTAATATGGGGGGGGGGGGTTAACATTTAATCTTGTGAGGTAGAATACACGTCATTCACTTTAATATATTTGGTAGCCTTTTCTGCCAGCAGTTACTGCCCGAACAATGTTTTTTTCAGGAAAAAAAAACATTTAAATATTCTAATCATATTGACCAAATTCATTTGAACAAACAGTGTAGCCCTCCGTGCAGACATGATCTTGGCTTAATATCAATAGTATGGGCCCTATGGTTATGCAGAGTCGGTTCAAGATTTGAAATATGTTTACCCGTGTGACCTTTAATATAAGTCAAGGCCATTCATTTCAAATGGTAGCCTTTATCCAAGCATTCTATTTGCCAAATATCAACATTACGTTTTTTTCAGAAGAAGTCGTTTAAAGATTTCAAAGTTATTGAATCCCTGTGACCTTGTATATAATTTAAGATGAAACATTTCAAACTGTGTAGCCAGCATGTTTCTGGCCAAATATAAATTTTTGACCACTGGTGCCTTGAATATAAGTCAATGTCATTCATTTGGACAGATGTGATAGCCCTCAATGCCAGCATGTTTCTGCCTACATATAATTATATTTGGCCATATTGTTATTCAAAAGAAGTTGTTGTGCACGAAGTGCTAACTATAAAAAAAAATGGACGAATATTGCTTGCGCACATTTGTGCGGACGATCGACGAACGTTGTGCGATAACAATCGTGGTTGGTGTAAATTTGAGGAATGGCTTAACAAAAAATACCATTTTGTGTTTTAACATATAAACTTAATTGTTTAGTATGTTTCTATATTCTAGCTACATCTATATGCTTATCTTTCTGTCTATACTTTCTTAAATTTAGAAATGGTGTTTTCGGTGTTTTTTAAACGACCTTAATCGACACATTTAAAATTAAAGCACAGTCTCGGCAACACAGGTAAGCATAGCCACTTTGAACCTGGGCCGAAGTTTCCCCCGCCCGGAGCACTTACGTAACACGCCAATGTGTGAAAACCAGGCGAAGGGGAGCAATATATCAGAACGAATGCAGATAACAAATACTCAACGTCCAGTTGTGTTTTCATAACGGTCATACGGTATCACATAGCAGCTCTATGTGTCAGGCACAGGCCAGGTAAAACTCCGGCCACTCATCAAATTGTTATTTACCTGTTATGTTACCCAGCTAGGAGCCAAGTCCATTCTTGACAGTTTAACGGTCACTGTATACTGTGTTACATGTACACGCATTGTAAATTGTAAATACTCTTAGTTATTGTGATGAAAAGTTACAGTAATATGTACAGTGTCCATTATTGCATATAAGCCTTCCGTTTTGTTTCATTCCGTAATATTGATAAAAAATTGTACCAAATCGCACAGTTGTGCGGAGAGAAGCGCACAACGGGGCGAGCGATTGTGAAATCGCACATTTGTGCGCACCATGTGTGGATGATGTGCGGACGGTTTTGTGAACAATGTATGCACAGTGTGCGCACGCTATTTTTGGTGCGTTGTACGGTAACACAACTGTATATGGACTTTATCAGATTCTATTAGATGGTGGGCTTTTTCAATTGCCCTTCGTCGGTCCGTCCGTCCTTAAAAAATAATTGTTAGCACTATTTCTCAGACAGGTCTGAAGGGTTCCTTTTTAAAATGTACATGAATGTTCCCGATGGTCGTCTGTTATGCTTTTCAATTTTTTGGAAGTTAGGAGTACGAAAATGGCTGATAGGCGCCAGCTTGATGTTTTTTGAGATACAGTTTGTTAGCGCCTTTTCTCAGAAAGGATTGGAGGGACGCCTCTCAAATTACACATGAATGCTTATAATGATCCCTTGTAATGCATATTAAATTTTGGAACTCAATCATCATCTGTTGGCACATCTGTTTGCGCGTTTTTCTCAGAAATGTCTAGAGCGATTTTCTCAAATTTGATATGTAGGTTCTCCTTAGACTGTAGTTGTGCATGTTCTATTGTGTGAGTAATCATTAACACAAGATGGCCGCACGAATGCCTTAACATATTTTTCATATATTACAATGATTGGTTCACATTAAGTACTGTACTAGTAAATATGCAAAACGACAAATTCACTTTGAGTGAATTTAATTTACATGACTCTATCAACTAAAGATGATAACAGATCGAACTGACAAAGAACTAATGAAAATGAAGATGGAATGGCTGGGGTCAAGATCCAGGGGGATAAGGATCTTTTGTTTCAGGAGTGGTTTGGTTTGGTTTTATTTTGTTAAACGTCTTATTGACAGCTAAGGTCATTTAACTTTTATCATACTGACCCTTCCTCAACCTTGACATTTGGCTACCTTTCCCATTTCTCTCGATTGGGGATCTTACTCAGCATGACCTAGTTAATCAAGTATTGAGCAAAACAAATAACATTTTTTAAAGATATTAGTAATTCATAGGTACGCACATTTGGTGGGGTACTCAATATAGAGGACATTAGGTATTGACAAGAATTAATAAAGTACAGTGCTGGAGAGATTACCTATTAGTTGTCTACCCTTTAAATGCAACAAAAGCGAATATCGTTAAGTTTAGATTGCATTTCAGTTGATCGTGCAATTTATTTTAAATGCAATTATTCCCATACAACATTTGACAAATGTATACCGTACTTTGGTACCATAAACTATTGAATTACGACATCTATATTTAGAACGTTTTACCTTACACAAACAGAACACCCCGGACAGGAAAGAGACACTTTGCAGGCTTCGCAGGTCGTTGTTTTACAGAAGGGAACAAATAACTCTAAGGTAAGCTATCTTTATGATTTGACTGTGATCGGTTATTATTTCTCGTTGTAATCATGGCTTATTTCATACGCCTGAGCATTACTGTCACACAAAATCACTCATCATTGGTGATCGATATTTTTACATCCTGATTTAGTCCTGACGCTAGTCAAGAACTGGTACACTGAAGTAACACGGTGTTAAGAGTTTCACAGAAAGAACATGGCGACTATGTGGATGTATTGAATTTTAGCTAACCTGGTCCGAAGAACCATGGTGAGCTTATGCCATATCGCAGTGTCCGTCGTCCGTCCGTCAACTTTTCCTTTAAAATGCTACTAGTCCTGAACGGTCAAGAACATTTTGACTAAACCTGATCTGGAACATCCTTAGGCCAAGGGGACTCAATTTTGTATAAACGGTGGGTGTTGGCCCGCCTGGGGGCAGAGGGGCGGGGCAAAATAATGGAAATACAGGTGAACTCTTTAAAATCCTTCTTCTACCAAAGGGATTAGGAGATGTTATCCTAATTGTGTCTGGATCATCCTTGGGCTAAGGAAACCCAATTTTGTATAAACGGTGGGCGTGGACTCCTGGGGACTGAGGGGTCCGAATAGGGTAAATAGAGCAAATTCTTCAAAGTCTTTCTTATTTCTGTAGGAAAGACAGGTAATTGCCCAAATTTGGTATAAAGCACTATTTGATGAACCGGTTGGCCTGACCCCCCTGGGGGCAGATATGCAGGCCAAAGAAAGGCTATAAAGGAATAGCTTTAATATCCTTTTTCTTCCATTAGGATGAAGGTATTATGACCAATTTTTAACCGTAGCATCCTATGGGGAATGGTAATCAATTTTGTTTAAATGGTGGGTCTGATCTTCCTGTTTCCAGAAGGGTGGGGCCCAATAAGGGTAATTTAGCAAATTCTTTAAAATATTTCTTCTTCTTCTGTAGGGATGACATTAATTTGCTCATATTTGGTCTAAATAATTCTTTGGTGAAGGGGACTATATTTTGTATAAACGTTGGGTCTGACCCCCTTGGGCAGAGGGGTGGGGCCCAACAGGAGACACATGGCAGATTCTTTAAAATAATTCTTCATTTGTAGGAACGGCAGGATTTTGTCCAAATTTGGGACGAAGCACCCTTGGATGAAGGGGAACCAATTTTGTATTACCTGTGGGTTTTAACTACCTGGGGCAGAGGGATGGGGCGAAATAGGAAAAAATAGAAAAAAATAGCTTTAAAATCCTCCTTTTCCTGTAGGAATGACAGGATTTTGTCCAATTGCATATAGATATACCTCTGGCTAACCATGTAATACATGTATAGTATTATCTCGCTATTTCAATTTCAATTTTGCCAACATTTCAAGGTGAACGATACAGGCCCTCTGTGCATCTAGTTTTAATTTACTGAAGGCTTTTGCTTAGCCACATATCTCACCTATATGTGCACAACCACCGGTACATACACAGGTATCTGATTTAAGCAGGTGTTTACGTATTGACAATGTTAGATTTGGAAACATGATATGATTACGTAAGGTATACCCGGCATAGGGTACAACAGTCAGTCGCATGCATGAGTTACCACTAAAACTTATGAATGGTTTGGATTGTTTTCGTTTAACGTCCTGCTAACAGATTAGGTCATTTAATATGCAAGCTTGTAAAATCAATACAATGTTATTTATAGGTGCGGCGTTGGATTACATCGTTAAACATTCTCAGTTTGAGATCAGGATAAGGTTTTGTTGGCGAGATAGTTCGGTAATTTTGTAAACGGCAATATCTTAACACTATCTACTTTACATACATTCAGTCCACACAAGGCACGTCATTTAATTTCCTTATGTATTAACAACGTTTGCATATTTAGCCATAATCTGATGTACGCATTCGCATCGAATCCGAATGGGAACACTTATTGTAAACTATGTATAACAATTACATTGCACAAGTATGCATGAACCAACATGAAGTTATTTGTGTAATATAACCACTATTTACATCTAAAATAATATCAATCTACGATAAAAAAAACTTACTTAATTAGATAGCGGTTATAATGAATTATTGTGCCCTCTGTTTTGGGGACACAAAAGCGATGAAAATATATATGCTGCACCAAATTGCAAAAGTTGCGATCTCTATATTTCCTTCGACTTCTGTCCCAAGGCCAGGACACATCAAAGTCCAGAAACAATGGTAGTTGGTATTCCCTGCTTGATGTTCAGCATTTCGGGTAATGGCAACAACTGGTTCACCCGTTGTCAGTATAATGTAACCGGGTGAAATTAGGTGCTAGGTATTTGAGTGAGATAGCACTATAAAGTCGGCATCATATTCCTAATCCCGGTACACATGCACGCTTACACAATACACATAGAGGTCCTTGTATGTAGAATTGTACGAAATGTAAATGCTGTACCGATTACATAATCGTAAGAGGCGACTACATTTTGAATCTTAACTTGTCTCTTCTTTCTAAACACTGTTTTTCTTCCTAATGTCTCCATTGACAATGCCTCACTGTTGGCCTTTAGTTGAGGGTTTGCCCCTGTGAGGAAGGCTTTGGGTTCTGTCCCCTGGCCGAAACATACGAGAGTCTGTAAAATGGTAGTTTCTACTCCTGCTTAACGCTCAGCAATTTAGGAGTGGGACGACTGGTTCGCCCGTTGTCAGTATAATGTGACCGGGTGGAGTGTCCTGTTGGGTGTCTTCGGCAATATTGTTCAGGGAGGTAGCACTATAAAGTCGGCATCAGTTCCACGCTATTACAAAGAGAAAAAACGCGAACATATTGCAGCCGCCCAAAAACGCACACGCATACACTACACGCATCTCGCACACAGGAGTGTCCGCCCTTCAATGACCATAGCTGTTAATAGGACATTAAACAATACTGAACCAAACCAAAACACATTAGCTGTGAATAGGACGTTAAACGAAATAAAAACAAACCAAACTAGTTTTTTTCCCATTTGTTAAGGTCCTAGTATCAACTAGGGTCATTAAAGGATGTGCATGTGTACAATGTATGTAAGCATGTGTCAATGGATTAACTAGTGTAAGACGTATACGAAAATTACTTAGGGCTCGTGTAATTAAGGATGTTCATGTGTACAATGTATGTAAGCATTTGTGACGGAGGCAGGGCATCTTTGTGCAATTGCCTCCAAAGGCAACCTGCATATCATTCTACCGTGCCACAATAATCTGTCAATGGATACGTAAATCACTTAGGGTTCGTGCACAACCAAAGCACACATTTCACACGAACACTAAGTACATGGAAAAACGTCCTTAAGTGACCTTAGTTTAACCAAATCAAACCGAAAACAAATCGACATAGTTTGGTTTTTTTTTAATGGATGTAGCGTAATTAATATCTAAGGTCAATTAAGGACACAATCGGTTAATTGGAAGAAGTTTAAGCGCTTTGTCACTGTAACAATTTAATTTGAAATGCATATGCTTTAAATAAGTAACAATGCGTCGGACCTAGGATTTCCATGTAGTGGAGCGACCTTGCGTCGGTTGGGTTAAAATGGAAGGGAAAGTGAGTGAAACCCACAAAGCTGTAGAACTACAAGTAACTAAATAGATTTTAATTGTGTTTTTTTCTTTATTATGAGCATGCATTGTCAATACAGAAATACTGGTTTCGCCTAAAGAGCAAAAACCCTCTAGAATGATCCAAGGACATGTATCAGATTGAAAAAAAGAAGCGCTTTGGTACAATCTTGGGTATGTTATAATAAAGTGAAGCTCAGTCATTTGCTAAAGCTTGATACACTGCTGATTATTTTAAACCAGACTCTGTCCAATCTGGATGTTTGTGTAAACCTGCCAAATTATTTCACAGAGAGTATATTTATGAATGTATAGAAGGTTATTTGACCAGCAAACAAAGCCAGTTGATAGAATGAACAAAGTTCAGAGTTGGATTAAGTTATAGAAATAAAGACCAAATACTTTTGCCAATTTACACAAAGACCAAGATTAAACAGAGCCTGGTTTGAACAGTTATTAAGTCGAAATTTCAAGTAAAGTAGCTTGACATTCCGAGCTAATACGTCGGTAGTTCGACTACCTCGAAATAAACCCGAAACTCCAAGTTAGTAAATCGAAGAATTGTCCAGGTCGGACTGACGGACCTTGGACGAATGGCGATTTGATAAACCCACCATCTGATGATGGTTTGCTTAATATATCGGTCATCTGCTGATGTCCATATATAAAAGGGATTCGTCGGGAGACCATTTTATATAATCTATATAACCATGGCGTCCTGTTATATATACCTCCCCCGACCCCCTTCCCGAATAAAACATTTCAGGCGTTCGTAAATGCCACTTGTCTCAGGTATGCAATGCGATTAAGTATTGAGGTAAGAATTAATTAGGCGTTGTGCGTTCAGACATATTAAGTTAAATTTAACAACTGAACTCTATCATAAGAAGGTGTAACGTTAAACCACCTCTTATCACCACACGTGACCAACCGAGACGTTCTCCAATACACGACACATGGCACAATTGTACAATTGACCTATGTGTTAAAAGCATGGTTAGCTTAACAACACATCAGCATAACGATATGATCCGAATAATTAAAAGCATATAAAATGAAATATAAAACAACATATTTATAAAACATAACAATACGATGCCTAGATCAGAAAACACAAGTGCATTTGTTAATTTTATTCGGAAGATTGAATTTCAAAGAGCATCGTAATCAGCTCATCAAGCAAATAACACTTTGAACAACCGAACAAAGTTCGAAATACTTGAGATGTGTTTTGGTGATATTGGCAGCATGCGGCATTGTGGCAATTTCAACAATAAAGGCACATAGATCAAAACCTCGGGTACATACCGTTATTGTAAAAACTTGCATCTACTTGTATATCAACGGACAAGATGACACCTCTGCATTATTTTTGATCACATCATTTTTATCTGAATACAACGATTGACCTGGTCATATTGTTAGTTAATATTACAATATTCA